ATTGGCATGAATCGTAATCTTGACCATTAGGAACATTTTCATTTCGTGATGAGAATTTCGCAGCCAATAGACGCGCTCCAAAAAGACATTTGCGATTTCAGGTGTTGGTCCCAATTCAATTCTTCGACAGATCAATTCAATTGTTACTATTCAGGCCGGCATTTGTGTGGAGCGGACAGTTCGTCGCCGGCAATGTGCTCAAAGTACCACATTAGACGTCAATCGACATCAGAGGCTTGACGTCACTCGACGTCGATCTCCGACGTCAAAACTATGTCCAAACTACGTTGAAATACTTTGCACACGCCATAAGCTACTATATGCTTGTTCGAGTGCATGTTTGTCTACTCAAACCGCGCACAGTTTCCCTGGCATGTTGCTTCTCTGGTTTGTCGAATTTGGGAAGAAAGAGGGGTTTTGAGTTGATCACGCACAATTACTGAAACTATATGCCAAAATCGCAGCACTGTAGCTTCTAGCGCACGGTTTCTGCCAGTTCTTCGCTCATAGAGCAGAATTAGCTCCTTTCAATGCAGCTTGATGGTCATTGGACCACCTGTCAGAACGTTAGAGGCCAACTGGTTTTACTATTAGTGAGAACAGTAACTCTTTATTCTGGGTTATTACATGCTCGAAAGTAAAATAACCCATGGAGAAAGAGCATCAACCCTAAACACCCCATATATGGTGTTTAGGGTTGATGAATCCCTTGGTGCTTGCCATCGAGAAATAATAAACATCGCGAACAATTGAAACGATTGTTTAGGGCATCAACCCTAAACACTTCCGCATTGTGTTTAGGGTTGATGCCTCCCTAAACTACATTCCATCCGAGAGGGGTTTATATTTTTGTCTGCCCGAAAGCAGTTGTAGACGGTTCGCTGGCCGTTAATTTAGGCGGAGTTGTCGGTCCGTCGATAATTTGGCCAATGATGAATGAACTGCGTTGAAAGGAGCTAATTCTGCGCTATGAGCGAAAAAATGGCAAAATAGCTGCGCCACAAGCTACAGTGCTGCGCTTTTGGTGAATAGTTTCAGTAAGTGTGGGTGATCAACTCAAAACCCAAGAAAGAGCCCTACATGCTTTTTACAACCAATTAGCAAGTCAACATGTTTGTGGCAAACTAATATCAGTCGCAAGCTGTTTTTTAGGCTTCGCCTATCACTCAACCCATCCGAACCTCCAACTGGCAGTCCGCCGAACCTAAAAATGCTCAGTTGACTTCCGTTGAGTAATTCAGGTCTTAGGCTTGAAGGGCTGGTCTGGGGCCTTTTCCTAATTTCCTGGATCAGGTGTACAAGTAACACAGCGAGTATGCTAAGTAGCCACTCTCATCATCCCCGTAGCTCCCACATTCTATCTACTTTGGTATGAAAGAAATCTATAGTTTGATGTTATGGCTGTAGTAGCAAAATATTTCCGAGTCGATACACTCCCTCAGAGTTCCAAGTAATCACACTGGACTCGCGACACTGAAACCCTTACATGGCGAAGAGGAATTCAGCCCAACGGTTCACACTATGAGTACTACATGAGAACGAATGTCCTCGGAAGTGCTTTGCGAATACACAAGAATTTAAACAACTTCTTTGCTGACGTCGTTTGCCCTACGAGGCCCCTTCTCCCCTACCCATCCCTTCCCCACCCCCTGCCCTAGGTTTCCAGATGAGTTGTTAGCATGCTCCTTCCCGTTGCTAAGTAATGGCACTGTTCTGTAGGTGTTAATGCTTCTGCATGAAATGTATGGGCAAGTTCTTCCAAATAGCTTCTCGCCGCATCCAAATCCCGCATTTCTTAATTTGCTAGAATGATGTTGCCACGAAGTCTCACCAAATCTCTCAACCCCTCAAATTTCTTCCCCGCACAACTTATGCGCTGGCTGATTCTAGCTTTCGAGGTTGAATTGGGAGCGCACAAGTTGTGCGGACATTTGCCTGGCGATGCTACATCCTGGAACCTTCACTCTGTTAAATTCGTGCGCCCCATAAGTGGTGTTCTGCAGGCAGCAGCGTCAAATTTGGCATAAACAGGTTTGGCGGGACCTCTCGTATCACCAAACCTTGATAGGCAGAATCTTACTTATCAACGAAAATTCTGCGGACCCAGTTTTTAGAAATTTGACGCCTACAGAACAGCACCAATAGTTGGATATCCCCCTTCGGGACATTAGGGCTCAGGTACATTTCTTAAAGCAAGGGTGCACTTTAGGGGGGGTGGAGGCGGTTTATCACTTGCCTCCACGTGGTTACCCGGTTTGTGGCTGGCGGGTGAGACACGAACAAATATTCAGTGTTGGCGAAGTTGCGCAGGGTACTCTCGCTCCCATCAGTAGTGACGGGGGACATGGGAGTTGGGAACTTGGGTCTGGTGCCAGTCAGTTTGTGAACCAAAACACCAGCAACTCACAAACCACGACACACATACTCCAAGCAACCTAGTAGTTAGCAACCATACTTAAAGCAAGGGTGCACTTTAGGGGGGGTGGAGGCGGTTTATCACTTGCCTCCACGTGGTTACCCGGTTTGTGGCTGGCGGGTGAGACACGAACAAATATAAAGTGTTGGCGAAGTTGCGCAGGGTACTCTCGCTCCCATCAGTAGCGACGGGGGACATGGGAGTTGGGAACTTGGGTCTGGTGCCAGTCAGTTTGTGAACCAAAACACCAGCAACTCACAAACCACGACACACATACTCCAAGCAACCTAGTAGTTAGCAACCATAGTGACCTTTGCTGAACCACTGACATCCATAGCAAACGTCGCATAATTTTCAATATCCATTTCTACCATCGATGATTTGCAAATATTCATAGCGACAGTGGGGACGGAGCTAATATCCATCCTCTTCTCAGTTTCCCCCCTTGCCTCTTCTCAGTTTCCCCCCTTGTCTCTTCTCAGTTTCCCCCCTTGCCTCTTCTCAGTTTCCCCCCTTGTCTCTTCTCAGTTTCCCCCCTTGCCTCTTCTCAGTTTCCCCCCTTGCCTCTTCTCAGTTTCCCCCCTTGCCTCTTCTCAGTTCCCCCCCTTGTCTCTTCTCAGTTTCCCCTCTTGCCTCTTCTCAGTTTCCCCCCTTGTCTCTTCTCAGTTTCCCCCCTTCATCACAAAAACCCTATGCCAAGTTTGGACGAATTTTGATTGGGGTTGTCTTCGCGTAAAAAAGTCCGGACCCAATTTTGACCGATGGATGGAATCATTTGATAGGAGCTCCGACACACATCTCGCGACAAGGTTTGGCTCGGGTCAAGTTTCAAATTGGCACGCGAGCTTTTCCGGATGACATTCCGGCGCAATCCGTTTTGGTGCAATTTCGGTACCAAAATATTATATACTGGATTTTGGTTTTGTTTTATTTTGGGTATTGAGGATTTCAGAATTACATTCAATATTTTGGTAAACAACAACTATTATTCAACATTCTAACAACCAGCAGTTTTAGCACCAGGTCAAATAGCCTACGCAATGATGGGCCCTGCAATCGCCTGGTGGGCAAGAATGACATCTCCAAGGTCGCCATCGTCGATGAGGAACTTGTTTGGGAAGACGAACGCACCCTGAGCCGGATCGTGTGGGATCCGCCGCTCCACGACGGTAAAGTGTATCATCTGTTTGACCTTGTCACACCACTCGAAGTAGTCTGGCCTGTTTTGTTCCGGCTGGGCCGGAATTTGCTTGCGACGCTTATCCTGCAGAAGGGGCCACTTGATCTGCAATGTGGTGTAGGGTTGGGTGGATGGAGTATGGTGGGGGGGGGGGGGGGGGGGGGGGGGGGTTACGGGTATATGGGCCAACTGAAAGCGGTGAAGACGACACACCCTACGTAACCGCAAACGCCTAAGTGACCAGGGATTTAGATGAAGTACAGGCAACCCATATCTCCCGAGACATGAGGCATGGGTGTACAGACACATATCTACATCCTTACCGAAAACAGGCCCCATGCCACCATGCGGCTCTTGAACTTGTTGAACACGACCCCGCCCCTCTTGAAGGAGAGCTTGAACGCATAAGCAAACAAGGGGTTGCTGAAGGGCGTTCCGGTGGCCTTGTCAAAGTGCCAGTTGAGGGCCCACTGTTCTGCATTTTGGGAAGGAGCGTACGGGTTGGAAAGGGGGTGCATAGAAATCAAGTGGCTGGGTGAGAGTCAGGGTATGGAACACCGCACGGTTATTTGTAGCTGCCACCTGGCATATGGGCAGGGGGATATGGTGTGTTCGAGTTGCACATACCATCTCTTTACTCGGCCAGGAGATCCTCGTGGTTGAACCACTTCTTTGGGTGTAGCTCAGTGGGCAGGGTATCCACGAGATGGGCGTAATCGGAGAGGCCCATGCCGGCATACGTTGCTGGCCTGAGGGTGCTGTTGATTGTTGACCTGGTTGACGACATCTGGTGGTTGAAGACACCCATGGTTAACTTGTCGTTGTGCAACCACAGCAGCTTCATTGACTCAAGCCCTTCGGCAGACAAGTGGACAGCGAACGCCTCGAACACTTCCTCCGGTGCAGGGCAGTACTGGATTTTTTTCGGGGGGTTCAGAATCAGGAGCTGAGAGCACGCTAAATAGGCCTTGTTCTGCGCAGGGGTGTGGGGTTTACAACACGACATGGGGAGAGAGAAACCATCAGTTATGACTTTGGCCGCGTGACCACAGGATGGACAGTGTGAACTTTCCACGTCACACCCTCCTCCATCCGCCACATCCACCCGCAACCAGCCCCACTTGCCACGTCACATCCACCCACCCCATGCCACGTCACCCCCTACCCACCTGATACGCGTCACCTCATCACGCGCCGCTCCCGTGTAACCTTCCAAGCCGCCACGTCAGCCCCAAGCCTCCCATCCCGCCACGTCACACCCTCCTCCATCCGCCACGTCAGGGAACAACCAGCCCCACGTGCCACATCACACCCACCCACCCACCCCATGCCACGTCACCCCACCCACCTAACACGAGTCACCTCGTGACGCGTCGCACCCGTGTACCCTTCCAAGCCCCCACGTCAGCCCCAACCCGCCCCATTTGGCCCGCCACATACCGGGAATGGGTTTGTCTCCTGCAACACTAGCACTCGTGCCTTGTCCACGGCACTCATCGGCGGCGGGGTACCAGCCATAGGCGCGGCTGCGAAACCCCCGGCATAACTGGCAGGTACTCCACGACGCAGGCCGAGCTGTGCAAACATAGCGTACATCTCAGACCGCAGCGCCTGGAACTCCTCCCGTGTAACAAACTGCTCGTGCTCCACACTTTCACCTAGGGCACCCATGAGCGGTGGAAAAGGGTGTGAAGAACCCCCCCTCTGGCCAAGGGTTTCAGCATCTTCTTCAGCAGTCCCGTGTGCCCTCACACTATCACGCTGGCAGGAAAAAGGGAGCTCAGGGAAGGGATTGGCAGAAGTGCTTGGATGATGCCCGCACGAAGGACCAGCGAGGGGGGGGACCGCCCTGCCCCGGACAGGAGAAGCGTGTAGCGGCCGAAATGGGTAGGAGGGTGAGGCGAGTAGGGAGTGCGTGACGGGGCCTGGTGGAGGTGATTCGATTCCTCTCCTCTTGGCGCGCCGGGAGCCGTCGCAGCGACTTTGCTTGGGCCAGAGTACGGCGTGAAGAACCTTGGGGCTCCTGTGGATAGCGGCGTCACACTTGCTCTTCCGACCCCCTTCATTAGCTGCATCCGTTGCACGCTTACCGGTGGCCCAATGCCTGTAACGCGAGGGGCTGAGATTTAGAGGGAGTAGGATCAAGAAATTAAAGTCGATTGGTATCAATACAGGGCCAGACACTCATGCATGAAATCAATGGTTTGAATCTAAATCAGGCTTAGCCGTGACCTGTTTTGAGACAGGAGACTTTACCTTTCTTTGCAAATTCGTCGTCCTTCTCCTTCCCTGCAGGGGAGAAACAACGTGTCAAATGGTGTTATTTGGCACGGTTGCGCAAAGAGTGCAACAACCACGCCCGGTCTATTGGCCAGGGTGCTCACCTTTATGCTGTCCCTTCGTTTTTTTGGGGCCAGCGCCTTCTCGTTGCCACCTTTCCGCGGGGTGCTTTGACGGCCGCTGCGACGTTTACCGGCAGGTTCTTTCTTGCCAGTACCCAATGGAACCCCTTTGGCGCCGCCACCCTTACGTCCTCCATCCCCTTTTGCTCCCTGGCGCCCTTGCTTTTTACCACCCCCTTCACTTTCGACCTTCACCTTACCCGCCTTTGGTCTGCCAGCTGCTACGCCGCGCGCGGCGTCAACTGCCCCGCGTTTTTGGGAATGGCGAGTCCGGCCCCCCACCTTCCCTGTACCACTATGCCGTCTCCCACGCCCACCCCATCCCTTCACTGCCACCACGTCCTCCTCCTCCTCCCCCTCTTCCTCCTCCTCCTCCTCCTCTGCCTCCTCCTCCTCCTCCTCCTCCTCCTCCTCCTCCTGTTCATCCTCCTCCTCGTCGCCCCCCTGCTCTTCCTCCTCCTCCTCCTCCTCCTCCTCCTCCTCCTCCTCCTCCTCCTCCTCCTCCTCCTCATCCTCCTCCTCCTCCTCCTCCTTCTCATCCTCCTCCTCCTCCTCCTCCTCCTCCTCCTCCTCCTCATCATCCTCCTCCTCATCGTCCTCCTCCTCCTCCTCCTCCTCCTCCTCCTCCTCCTCCTCCTCCTCCTCCTCCTCCTCCTCCTCTTCGTCCTCCCCGCCATCATTCTCATCTTTTTCATCCTCCCCAACATCCGCGTCATCCTCCTCCGCATCCTCTTCATCCTCCTCTTCCTGCGCATCCTCCTTCTCGGCCTCACCAGGGTCTTTACGACCCCGTTTCTTGCCCCTCCTTTCGCTAGATGATGCTTGCTTCTCAAGGGTTTCTCAATTCGTTCGGGCGACGCCTGACTATTTTGAACGACGGAGGCGACTGCGGGGCCGCTACAGCGGCAGGGCGGGGCCGCAACCACGGCAGGGAGCTCCGCGGCAGTTGCAGCAGGGCGAGACTGGGCCGCGACGGCAGCTGCTACAGGGGCGGCTGCTCCAGGGGCCAGGGGCGGCTGGTGCAGTGGCGGCTGCTCCAGGGGCGGCTGCTCCAGGGGCCAGGCGCGGGGTAGGGCAGGGCGACGCGGCGGGCAGGGGCGACGCGGCGGGCAGGGGCCGACGCGGCGGGCAGGGCGACGCGGCGGGCAGGGCGACGCGGCGGGCAGGGCGACGCGGCAGGCAGGGGGCGATGACGCGTCAGCAGCTGGGCGTGGCCGCGTCAGTAGCAGGGCGCGGCCGCGTCAGTAGCAGGGGGCGGCCGCGTCAGTAGAAGGGCGCGGCCGCGTCAGCAGAAGGGCGCGGCCACGTCAGCTGCAAGGCTGGCGGGGCCGCGTCATGGCAGGGTGGGGCCGCGTCCGCGTCGGCGGCAGGGCGGGGCCGCGACCGCTACAGGGTGGGGTCACGTCAGCGACAAGACGAGGACGCGACTGTGGCCTAACAGGGCCGCGACAGCGACCTGACGGGGTCGCGCGCTGGCCTGTTGGGCCTAAAGAGGCAGCGTGCGGGCGGCGAGGGCCTGCAGGGGCGGCGCGCGGTCGGGCAGAGGCTACGCGCGGGCGGTGAGGGCCTGCAGGGGCGGCTCGGGGGCCTGACAGGCCTGCACAGGCGGCTCGGGGGCCTGATGGGCTTGCAGGGGCGGCTCGAGGGCCTTACTAGCCTGCAGGGGTGGCGCACTGGCCTAGGGCAGCAGGAGGCAGCGCGAGGGCTGCAGGATGGGGCGCGGGCAGAACGAAGGGCGAGGCGCGCGAGGGCGCACTAGCAGAAAAAAGGCGCACAAGGGCGCACGAGCAGAGAAAGGCGCACGAAGGCGCACGTAAGGTAGGGCGCACGAGGGCGCTTCTAGCGGAATAGTGGGCCCGTAGTAGTAAGCGGTCCTAGGTGGCAACCTAGGCTCGTGATACCATGTCAGAATCAACAAGGGTGATTGAACTAGGAAAGAGTTGGGTACAAGTAGGAAACCCTAAACTTACTGTACCCCATAGTAACTACCCCACTACAGCCTAAACAAACTGTAGCAGATATGACATTTGACGGGGAGGCACAGCACAAGGAGTATAAATTGGTGGTATGAGTAGGAGAAAACTGTTGAACTATGAAAACGGTGGACACGAAGGAACGGAAGCTACGGTAAGTTGGAATGCAGAACGAAAATGACGAGAGTGAGGAGGAATGAGAGACAGCACCAAGAACAATTGAGTGGGTTGTGTGCTGATATGGGGGGAATTGCGCTAGCGTGCGACCAAGTGCGCTGAGGCAGTTCCAGTAGTTGCGCAGTGGCTGATGCAACAATTGCGCTGCTGGCAGCACTTGCGCTGCCATCAGCAGTCGCGCTGCTGGCAGCGCTTGCGCTGCCAGCAGCAGTCGCGCTGCTGGCAGCAGTTGCGCTGCTGGCAGCATTTGCGCAGTTGGCAGTTGCGATGCAGTTGCCAAACAGAGCGCAACTGCGCAAAGTGCAACTGCTGCGTCAGCCACCCAATTCAAGATTTGCGCTGGAGTTGCGGAGTCCAGCGCGACTGTGCAAGGCGCAATTGTTGAATCTGGCAATTGAGCAGCTGCGCTGGTGTTGAAAAATCCAGCGCAACTGCGCAAGGCGCACAACAGCGAACCAGCTTTCGCTGAACCCAGCGTGTTGGCGACAAACGATCAATCACAACAGAACTTATCGCCAACAAGGTCCGTGAAATAAATATACACCAATTACATAACACTCGCACAATGACGTGTTCGTACTATTTACGCAGAAAAGTGAAAAGACGCACAATAGAAATGCGCTGTAATGAGGAATGTACACCGCACTCGGAACAGTGTAACATCCCTAGTACTACCCTCTTTCGTCTAAACATCAAATTTTAGCGCTAACAAGTATCACAAATGGTTACAAATAGGTGCGTTTTCATAATCTTCAACTTAATTTCAGCAATAACATACGGCCAACATCGATGGATTTTGCTTCGGCTGGCTGATAACAATGTTCATTCTTATCATTCCAGATAAATGAGCAACAATTTTCGTAAAAAATTGTTTATGAAATAGAAGCAAAATGTATATGGACTTTAAACGTGCAAAGATTTGACAGCATATATCTAATGATTTTAATCCCATAGGCATCCGATTTATTGGTATAACTCAATTTGTTATATGTCTATAATATTTTGTCATAGTGACCATGGGAAGATTGGATACACTTATGATTTTTATACATGTATTCTTTTCAAAAGTTGCATATTGAATTTTTTTTTTTCTTTGTGGGCATGAATCATTGAGTTTCCAACAGTACGCGTTGACGAAACGTGATGCATCTTTGTGTTAGCTCTAAAATACATGACTAGCTTAGTCTCGCGTTCTTTGCTACCTCATTGCTCATAATATCCTCCATACTTTCTTTGCTACGACTGATACATACTAATCTGGCTACAAACACCTAATCTGCTGGTAAAGCTCTCTCTTCGGGATCACCTCGGAGGGTCCTTGGGTGCCAGACCAAGGCCAGCCCCTATCCAAGGGTCTGAGTGTGTAAAGAGAGCGAGAGACAGAAAGAGAGAGAGAGGGAGAGAGAGAGAGGGAGAGAGAGAGAGAGGGAGAGGGAGAGAGGGAGAGAGAGGGAGGGAGGGAGAGAGAGAGAGAGAGGGAGGGAGGGAGGGAGAAAGAGAGACTTGAGTCAACAGCGAAGGTTGTAGCAGCAGCTGTACTTCATGCGGATGGTCACTCTACAACGGTGGGAGCTGAACTACAAGTGAAGGCACAGGTGGTTTGGATGATCGTGACTCTCACTACTTCCGTGTTCACAGAGCGATTTGTCAAGAGTTTCACTAGCAAAATATGAATACATCTGGGACTTTGTAGCTTAGCGACCAGGCAGGTCGCCCTGGTCGACAATCTACCAATGTAGCAAGGAGGCGACTTGCCAACTCTGCTAGTCGACGAGCTAGCAGCGCTGCATTTCCGCGGCTTGCCAACGCTGCAGAAAGGCAGCTAGCTAGTGTTGTAGTCATCGACCTGGATCTTATGGCAGCCGACGCAGGTCAGCACCACGTCGAGCGGTGACGATGCTGAGGAGGATCCTCAACGGGACGTAGCTCCCGACCTGCGCGTACATCTCGTCCAGGGCCTCAGATTCGTTTGGGGGTACACTGAGGCCTCAGGGCAGTTTTTAGGAAATCAGAATTTGCCCTGAATTGTCAGGGCTGCACAGGGCGAGGTATCCTGAAATGCCAGTGCTACGTTTGTTTGTATCCTGTAGACTCATTGCAACATTTCGTAATTAGGTGAAGTGTGGTAGCGGGTAAAACGACAATGCGTTTTGCAATAGGTCTCCGGCTCGATTCCTGCTGGCTCCTATGTTTGAGGTGCTCGCCGGTGAATATTTTAGGCCCCGAAACCCAGTAGATTTTTCGTATAGTACATCTCGCTTCAAAGCAAGATTCGACACTATCTTGACTCATCAGGGCTGAACCTACAGCCTTATCGTGAGTTTCCAGTACGCAAAATAACCGTTATACAGAAATTACACGACAATTAATCCTGTTATGCTGTTTTCCAGGACTAGCACACGACACCTATCCTGAATTCAGGAGAATGAGGATATATTATCCTGATAATTGAGGCCATGATCTCGTCGCAGTCGACGTTGTACACGTGCGTGAAGCCATTCTACACATGTGTGTACTATCTTCTAAGCGTGTCAGACAGGTTTTGTGTCATTCGTGACATTGTCGGAGTGAAAGGCCCCGCCCTCGCTTGGGCACAGGCATTCTCTGCAACGACGTGGTGAACTCGACAAAGTGATCATCGCGTTGGATCAGCCCGTCCTCTGAACCAGCCTATGGTTTTCGAGGAGGTTGTCCTCTGATTCACCAGCCCATCAACAAGCTCTGGTCGACGGGGTGCTGTTCGACGAGCTCGTCTTTTGATCTGCTTCTGGGTTGCGCGATCTCTGACGGACGGGGTGCTATTCAAGGAGCCCCGTTCTTTGATCGAAGGGCGCTGTTCGGCGAGTCTCATCTCGGCTGACTGGCTGGCCGAATTCGCGCGGCTGCGAAACTCTGCAAGGGCATGCAAAATTCGCTCAGGTGGCTCTTAGCGAAATTCGACCTGCGAAATGGCATCACGTGTTCGACGGTGGACACCTGACTAAACCGTCGGAGCGTTTTCTACCTGGCACCTGCGCAATGTCTCTGACGATGCAACCGTCTACGTGCACCTACTCGGCAGGTGCACACCTGCGCAGATATTCACGTGCGAATGCAGCGCTGGCAGGCCGCCCTGTTGCAGCGCTGGCATGTCGCCCTTCTGCTACGCTGGCAGGCCGCCCTGTTTCAGCGTTGGCAAACTGCTCTGATGCAGTGCTGGCGATTCGCCTTGCAGAATGCTTGCTAGGGATTGCAATGCCATTCCAGTGATATCACTTGCATGCTCTTCTTTGTACTCTAAATCTCAATTTTCAATGTTCTTTCAATTTCCTCAGCGGAAACTCTTGCCAAATTTCTTAGTGGTCACAGCAAGTAGTAAGAACTCTGATAGAACGCTACTAGAGCGCTACGATCACCCACACAACTCCGTGCTCTCCTTCGTAGTCCACTCCCGTTGTAGGGTGACTCTCCGCATTTGGTAGGGAGATATGATGTTGCAAACAAGTGAGCATGGAGAACTGTGCAATGATAGGCCTGTGCTATTGTGTGGTGCCAAATCTATAACCGTTTGCTATTTTAAACAAGGTTTCTTTCTATCATTCAAGCATTTACTATCTTCTAAGCGTGCCACACAAGTTTCGTGTCATTCGCGGCATTTGGTAGGGAGGTATGATGTTACAAACATGTGAGCAAGGGTAATTGTGCAATGATAGGCTTGTCCTATTGCGTGGTGCCAAATCAACAACCATTTGCTATTTTAAACAAGGTTTCTTTCTATCATTCAAGCATTTACTATCTTCTAAGCATGCCATACAGGTTTCGTGTCTTTCGCCGCGTTTGCTAAGGAGATACGATGTTGCAAACATGTGAGCAAGGAGAATTGTGCAAGGATAGGCATGTGCTATTACTGTTATGTGATGCTATCACTTGCATTCACGTCTGTCTGCCTCCCATCACATGTTCGTGTGTTGCATGCGTGGTGTGAGCGTGTGCAAGAATTTGTGTTTGATGTGGTTTGGCTTTTCTGAGTGTGTGTGTGTGTTTGTGAATGTTATTTGGCTTGAGCAGATATCTGAAATGACTCCTCTGCTCAAGAGCTTTCCGACGAACCAAGTATCGCTTCAATCGGAGCACGAACAAGAAAGTTACGAACGTTAGAAGTCCGTATGCTTTTGATATTTGGTTGTGGTGACTATGGGAAGTTGTGGGGTTGACTCCATAAGGGGTACAGACTTTTGGGGGTTGAGAAATTCGTCAACATCACTGTAGATGCTGCCAAGTGGTTGGGAGAAACCAAACCAGGTTGGCAAGTGTGGCCAAGTTGGGCAAGGTGGATGGCATGGGTTGGGAAAGTGACAAAAGTGAAAGTGGGGTTGCCTATGGAGAGGGGAATTGTGTGGCATGGGGTTTCCTTGGTTGAAGACTCTCTTGGGACCTTCCCTCTCGTCCTCCTCATTCCATCCCACCTGGTTTATTGCTATTCTTACTCTCTTGTGTAATAATCGTGAAATTGTGAGACAATTGTGATTAAGTTAAGATTCGATGGCAGCTTACCCCCTAGTGCGCCGAAATTCATAACTCAAGAAATACTCCATTTTATCATACAATAGGGATTAAAATTGGGAATTGTAGCCACACACTAGGGCTACAACATATCTGAGTTTGGTGAAGTTTTGACGGTGCAAGTGTTGTCGACGGCGTTTCTTGTACTCGACATTTCTGTCCAGAAACTAGGCCCAACGATATTGAGATATTTCGGCTCCTAATCTTCGTATACCTCGTCCTTAGTCTCTAACAAGTGGAATCAGAGCTGATTAAGAACCTTGTGGAGAGTCTACTGAAGTGTGAAGACCCTCGTAGACCCACCATGGCGTGTGGGCGTGCCTAAGTGGAGTTCTGGAGGCTGGATGTGACTTCCGCTAAGGGGAAACTCTGCCGAAATTTCGTTGGCGCCGACACTTGTGGAAATTGTGTGGCACTTCGGTGTGGACAGCAAAGGGGGAGCTGGAACCTGTGATTGCGAGCAGAGGAGATGAGTCAAGGGAGTGGAGAAGCAGCTAAGAAGAGGAGTGAGCCGCCACCATCCAAGATTGAGGCATTGGATGGCTCCAACTACGAGGAATGGAGCGGGCGGATGCGAAGCGCCTTCAAGTGCTATAAGCTGCTGAAACTGGCAATGGGAGAAGAGAAGATGCCAGAGGAAGGCGATGCCCGCGATCGATGGATTGAGAAAAGCGCGGTGCTGTACGACTTGATTCTACAGTCGGTCAACAACGACATGTTCCAGCACATCAAGGATTTGGTGGAGCTCGATGACTCGGGACCAAATGCGTGGAAGCTGCTACGCGACGGGGTTCAGCTCAACACGCTGCCGATGGTGATCGTATTGGAGAAGGAGCTGGCTGCCCTCTCCATGCGGCCGGGAGACGATGTAAAGCCGGTGCTTGACAAGGTCAAGGACACCTATGCGAGGATGGCAGCGGCGGGCAGCAAGGTGTCGGAGATGTAACAGTGCACCAAGATCATCTCGGTGCTCGACAATTCGTGGGACAACCTTATCCCCACCCTCAACATTCAGCAGGACAAATGGACGCCTAAGTGGCTACGGCAGCAGATCCTGCAGGAGGACTTCCGCAGGCGCCACACGGGAGGTGGTGCTGCCGACAAAACTGCTAAGGGGTATGGAGCTGCAGGAGGCAGCAGAGGAAGAGGGGGTGGGAGAGGCCGAGGCCGTGTGAGAGGCTTTGCCAGAGGGAGAGGCCGAGGTGACTACAACGAGGGGCATGGGAGCTTTGGAGGCAGGGGGAGCATCCGAATGGAGGGTGCGTGCTCGTACTGCAAGAAGGCTGGACACCCATGGTTCAAGTGTTTCAGCCGGCCTGAGGGATGGGCGCCCCCAGGCATGAAGCCGCCGAGTGGTGAACGTGCACGAGGTGGCGCTGTACAAGGTTCAGGTGCACAAGGTGATGGTGCACAAGGTAAAGCCGACCCTGGGATTTTCCTCATGGTTGAGGATGTGCAAGGGAGTGGGGGTGATGTGGGTTCAGTTGGGAAGGTTGTGATGCACCCCCTCACCCACAGGGTGATAGATTCAGGTTGCACAAGTTACATGACCCCACGGGTAGATTTGCTTGACGAGGTAAAACCCCCAAGAAAGATCAAGTTTGTGGCTGCCGCTTCAGGTACTTTGCTTCCTGTGATTGGTGTTGGGAATGCCAAGGTCATGGGAGCTAATGGGGGGCTTGTG